CTTAAACCTGCAAAATAAGGGGGATTAAAAGTAGTTTATATGAAAGAAAAAAATATCATAAAATTATCTAGCACTTAAAATATCAAATCCTATTTCTATCCTATTGGTCATTCGTCTTTTGGGGAGTTTAAGCAATACATGTAAGCAAACATTTTCATAATAATGATTAATTTATCTCCGCTTACAATGACCACCTATAGAAAAGAGCATGCATATCTTTATCTAAACCACTTAAGCGCAAATGTCCACAATGCAAATAATTTAATGTTTATCACATCAAACACAACACATACCCCGATAAAAAAAAATCCTAATCCTAGCATGCCTAGAGAGTTGTGCATCTAAGTGTGTGATAGCTATATGGTATATCATATTACAAGTGTTTTATTTTATTATAATAAAGATGATATTTAATTTTAATCTAAGGGGTGATTTCACTTTAAGTTGTTAGTTACTTAAAACTTTTATTTGAATTTTAATTGTTTCATATCTATGAAGGTTATGAAGAATTCATAAAGCAACCAATGCTTGTTTTGAGGCAAGCTTGTTGTTTATGGAATCATAAGATCCAATGATATATGTATTCCACCTTTTATGGTGGAATGATTCATCATTGTATCAAAGGAACCTAAGTGATTTTTAGATTTTATTTTAAGCTCTCTTAATGTTTGGATAAAAGATGGATGTTTACTTGATGGGACAAAGTAAACATGCTTAAGGATTTGAATTAGGACTTCGTGAAATTCACCCAATAGGATAAGGTGAATTTCAACATAAGAAAACTTCTAAAGAACTTATAAAGATCATATTTTAAATGTCATGAAAGGATTATATCATTTATTTTGTTAAATTAAAGTTTACTTAGAGTTTGGGTCAAAGTAGAAGGATCATCTATTTGATTTGGACCAAATAGATACACTTTTCAGTGTTGAGGCCAAAGGAAAGACAGGTTCCAATAGATTTGGCACAAAAGGATGAAGGAAATTTCCTGAACTTGAGGTTGGAGTAGATGAGATGAGATGAGACATATAGCTTTCAAACTAAGGTGAAATTTTTTATGCTTTAAGGGTAAGGAGTTGGAAACTTTTCAAGGACTTTTGATGTCCATAGAAATGAAGGAAGATTTGTAGTTTTGATGCTACAAATCAAAAAGGTTTCTTTGAATTTTTGTGTTCAAAGAAGGTGATCATTTGCTTAATTTGGGCTAACCAAAATGAAGAAGCTAGACTTTTGGCTCCTAAGTTTAATGACAAGAGAGGCCACCAATTGATTTTGGCTCAACTGGTGAATTGGTTGGGCTTATGTTTGATCCCTAAGGTTTGCTAATGCTCTCATAAACTCTTCAAAAGTCATTTAGGAACTTTTATAAGAGTATAGGAAAGACACTGGGAAAAGAAATTGAAGAATTTCCTATGGCTTTTAGACTAAGGAAAATGTGGGATTTCTTCCAATTTTGGCTTCATAGAAAATAGGAGGGGAATGTGCAACTTAAAAGTTGCAAATTAGAGAAGGCTTTTTAAACTTTAGTGTTCAAAGAGAGATGCATTTGACTAATTTGAGGCTAAGTAAATAAAAAAGACTAGGATTTAGATCCTATGTCTAAGGGATTATTTGTTAATTTTGGATTCAATAAATGAAGTAGAAGAACTTAGAATTTGATCCTAAGATCAATGATCCATGTAATATGACATTTGGAGCCTTGGGGAGGCTCCAAAATGCCACACATAAGGGAAAAAGACACTTAAAGGAGAGCTCCCTATTTTTATTGAATATTTTGGACTCATTTGAATAGGAAAAATTCATTTGAATGCCTTAAATAGAATTTAAAGATAAATTTTGTTATGATCTAAGGGGAATCTAGGAGTGTGAATGGCATGGTTTGTTACTTTAGGAGATTAACAAATGCTTAAACTACTTGTCATTACCCTCAACCAATCAACTTGCAAATTGCACTAATCATGCTTAGATAATTTCAATTTGTGATGGGAATAATCCATAGTCCTTTAAAAGCCATAGAATACTCCACATTTTCTTTATAAGCACTTACAAATTAAATAAAAATGTTTGCGAATTTGCAGATTTTGAGTAAGCAACAATCTTAGCAAATGACCCATGACATGCATTCCTTTACGGTTTGAGTGATGGAATCTAAACCATGCAACCTAATTTGGTTAAGTGTGCGATCATTTGGATTGGGGTTATTCATCACTTGTTTCAATGATCTAAATTTGGAGAAATATCAAACATGAATTCAATCATTTTAACTCATAATGGGATTTGAATCACCAACATGAAGGTTCGTGAAAGACCCCACTAATTGTTTGTAAGCTTTATAAATTAATTGAAATTCACTATTGAACCTCTAACAAATTTAGAAGAAATTTGCAAATGCTAAGCAAAGCAAGCCTCCTATATCTTTTAAGTTAATTTTGCTAAAACTTGTAATTTGTAAGGGAGGTGATGCATGCCATATATCATGAAACCTATGCGTCGTCAATCAAGTTTGTGATCAAGTGACAACATCCAGCCTAAGGTTTGATCAAAGGAGAAGGTTTGGAATGCAATATGAATGTTATTTCATGCATTGAGGGACATTGAACACAAGCCCAATGACCTGACATGCGCTACCATCCTCTTGGGCTCTCACATGAGACCAACCCGTAAAAAAATCACCGGATTTTCACTATTTTGCATAGTGGACAGCGAACATATGGGTTATTTTGGTCTCTATAAAATATAAAGCGTGGTTTTTAGGGTCCTAAGGGTTTGGAAGCATCAACCACATCCACAAGGCATGGAAACCTACGGGTTTTCTAAGTTTAGGGGGTTTACCTGACCGAAGCAAGTTACGATGCTTGTCGGCGTGCTCTCCCTTGAAAAGGCGAGCTAGCGGAAGGATGAGGAATGAGCTCGCTATCCAAATTATTTTGAATGTCACTTCCATTGTTTGGACTGCTCCTGGATGTCGCTTCACTGCCAACAGCTCATCGGAGACTATAGGAAGAGGAAGCTCCCATATTTTCCCTGACTATAACAAAGGAACACTATAGTAGTTCCCTCTAGTTTTGGAAGACCAAAAGAAAGAAATCATCAGCCACAACTCTCAATTCTTTGTTTGGAAGACACGAACTGGCAGCTGGCCGCTTTGTTCCTCTAGATCTAACGCAAGAAGGTTCCTGGGCTTGACTTCCTACTCTCGGCCCGACTCTAAACATGCACAGGAGGACCAGTCACACACGGTATGATGATCCCATCCGCCCGCCTCTTATTTGATCCCAGACACGCACACAAAAAGCCTCTCAGCCCCACTTTCCCTCTCTCGAATGCAAGGCTGCAACTGGATGTGGTTCCTTGCTCAGTTAGGCCCATATGTATGTGCGAGAAGGATCCTTGCTCGATCTTCCTCTGAATGTTGCACGTAGAAACCACATTCGTCTCTACTCGACTCCACCGGAAGAACAACGTGCAAGAACGCGACTGCTCGCTCACTCCATCATTCGTTGTAGCATGCAGGAAGCACGCACGCCTCACTCAATCCCTCTCAGCTAGATGCACGCAGAAAATATAACAGACTGACTCTTATCGCTCCTCTCCCGCTTTTGGATGAACACAAGCAGAAAAGTAAACCAAATGAACCCACCCTCGATTTCGTGGATTTGGAAGATAGATACGCAAATGATTGCCTGCTAAGAGATTTGACAAGAAGGTGCCATGCGTAGGGGGCAAATTCCAATGCAATTGGAGCCGTTAGATCAAGTTTTTGATTTAAGAAGTCAAATTGAACTTGAATTGAACCAATTGGGCTAATTGTGTTCGAATTTGAGTATGAATTGAGCTCAATTAGAATCGATTTGAGAGGATTTGAGTTTCTTTTAATTCAATCGACTTAATTTTATGAAATTGGGCTCGAATCATTTCGATTCAATTTAATTTGAATTTAATTGAGCTTAACTGACCTCAATTTGGGTTCTACAAAGCTTAATTGAGTTGATTGGGTTCAATCAACCTAATTGGGTCCAATTCCAACACAAAAATTGTGTCAACATATATACTCCAATTTGGAAGTGTTGGCATATTAGTTAGTTAGGGTTGTTTGGTTGGCTAAAAAAGGAATGTAATATAAAAGGAATATGGTGCAAAATGAATGCTTTGAGTTGTTTGGATGAATGTAAAGTAAATGCAAGTGAATGATTTTTTTTATTTGATTTGTAGTAATGAATGTTGTGTAAAGTCAAAAAATGATGGTGACTAGTGGAGATGGTGATGGTCGGCAGCGGTGACGGCAGCGGCTGACGGTGATGGCCATGGCGGCGGCCAGCGAATGGCGGCTGCATTCAGCAATGAAGGCTAGTGAATGGCGACTGCGGTCAATGACGGGTGGAGGCGGTTGTCGGTGGTGGTCGGAGGAAATTGGAGGAGACCAACGGTGGTGGCGGGTGGAGGCACCTAGCGGTGGTGGAGGGTGGCGGTTGGCGGCGATCAAGAAAGCTTGCTTGTGGTGTAAATCGTTCTCGCTCAAAATTGGGTGAATTTGGTTTACCACAAAAATGAACTAGAATGGTTTTTAGGTGAAGCTCTATTTTTTATTTTTAACTATTTATACCATGTATTTTAAAGGCGAAAAATCTCTTCCACAAATATGGCATAAAAAACTTTTTTGAAAAGGTAAATCATTCCTCGCTCAAATGTCTGAAGTGTAAATATTACCAAAAATAGCAACCTTGCATATTTGTCTAACCAACAATTTGCCACTTGGCTTCTAAGTTTAAGAAGATCAGCAAGACCCACATACAAAGGCACCGAAAAAGTACAAGATGAAATTATGAGTATAGCCGGTAGAATTTCAGTTTTATCAAATGTTAATCGAACATCTAGGTACATTTTCAATAAAGAACATGTATCAGCCTGATTATTTAACATTATTATTATAACTACTATGACAATTAAGATGCTGAATTTAATCTTCAAATATAACAAACTGATGAATCTTGTAAGCTCACCAACTGAAAAGGGACCATAAGATCAGCTTCAGCAGTTGACAGCCGAGGAGGTAGACGCATCAGTTGACGGCTCCCCTCAAGGAAACACTAAAAATTAATAAGAAAGAGTAAAGAAAATTAATAGAACTAAAACAGCAGGAAACACTTCAGAACGATATCATGCTAAAAAATTGTGCTTCAGAAATATGCAGTCCGTTAAACCAACTAATATGAACATATAAACAATGAGATAAACACAGGACCAAAGGAGCTTAATAGATGATCTTGAATGAAGGATATAGTAATGCTAGAAAATATATTCATGTAGCTGGCCCCACGTAATGGGATAAAGATTTAATGATGTTGTTGTCGTCATTCAAAGAGAAGTTTTGCCGAGATTGTTTTAAGCAAAAGCAACAATACTTATTGAAACTTGCAGTGTCATAATCTTAGCAAGAACATCCATAACCAGATTCTCAAGGCACAAGCAGATCCCTGCATGCCTATAACACAAATAGTAACATGGATCCATACCTGGAAGAAATCACCTTTAGCTAAAAGAAAATAATCTTTGAGGGCTTTCAGGTGGCCATTCAAGTCGGCACGAATCACTACAAGCTGATACCAACAACATCAAGCCATAATGATAAAATTATAAAGGCAATAATGAGAATGATCCTAAGAAAGCTTTATAAAAAAAGTAAACAATTCAAGATTTAAGAAGCATGTACCTGCCATAGATGGTTTGCAGCAACAGTACAGATTGAATTCACAGCAGATTCAAACGATCTTTTATGAAACTCGGATGATTGCTGTATTTAGTAGAAACCGTAGAACTAAGAATTGGTCAAGATGTAAAATAAGTATCAAATATTATAAAGGTTTAAATGTTTTTTTTTTCCAGCTCATCACCAATTTATGGGATGGAAGCTGGTTCTGATCTAAATATTTCAATAGCTCTGGAAGAAAGCAAAAACACTTTGTACTATTGAAAATAAGCATGGAATTGCCATCACTTTTATTAAAAAACTTTAAAAAAAAAAAAAGAAGAAAGTGGAAACTACTTCATAGAAAGCGGTTGGTCATGTACCACCCAAATCCATATTATGAGCAATGCAAAAGGTGGCTTTTTTCTAGAATGAAAAAAGAGGATTTAAATTGGCATCAGACAGCTAAAATTCACTTGTACTTGGAAGGTGAAAATATAATCCTTCATTCATTCATTACTCTGCCAATTGTAGAAGGAAAAAAGAATTTCATTCATCATATCAAATCTAGTTATAATCTTTTAATAGATCAGAAAAACACATCCAAGGCTTTCACTAATTCATTCAAAAGATTCTCAACTCCTAAGTCAATGTATTTAGATCTTTACTTAGAAACAACTTATTTTCTTATTTGAATTCTCTTGAGCTTGGCTCTCTTCATCTCCTTTGTATCGACTAAGCTAAAGCTACCGTTTTTTATGGGAGCTGATAAAGTCCAAAAAGATTTTCAATCAAATTCTTCCAAGTCTTATGCAATTTTCAAGGATATTTTAAGCTTGGCTCTCTTCATCTCCTTCGTATAGTCTTGAGATAAAGTGATGTGAAACAATCGAGAATTGCACGTGAAATTTATAAAGAATCACAAAGTGAGCTAATTTTAAGATTAAGGTATCGTGAGGTGAGGTTCAAGAGTTTTCAATTGTCAAAGTTATTATGATAAGCAATTACAAACTTGATGTTTGGGCACAATTGGCGATAGATCTTGAAATTCTCACAATAAGACAAATGCGGAGTAAAATATAATCCCACGGCTAATGTTTAGAAAATTCACAATGAGTTACCTTGCTCACTCACACTCAAGTAAGGCTTAGCAGAAGAAGGTCTTTAGCATACCCAACGATGCCATGAGGACGATAGCAACCCCAACGGCCTTGAGCCACGGAAAGGTTGACGGTGGTGAGGATGGCGGGAATGGTTGACTGTCGAGGCTCCAATCGTAGTTTGGAAGTTGGCGGTCGATGACGCTCGCAAGAGTAGGTACAACTCGATCCAAATAATCTCCAACGGTGGCGTCGTCTTCAAATCCCACGTCAAAGAACGGAGATCGTAGGATGTTGAGATTTTCGTCAGCGTCGAACACAAGTCCCCACTCAAGTTCGAGATCCGCCATTCAACATTGAAGTGGAGGTTGAAGGGCGTCGTCTTCTTCTCTTGGCTTCAAGTGTTATGAGCATCCGACTTCACAAGGGAGGGAAAGGGGAGGGGTCGGCCAAGGTGGGGAGAGAGGGGGTGGGTGATTTGGGAGAGGAGATTTAGGTTAGATGAGGGAAGGAAGAGATTTACTCAAATTTGAAACTAATTTCAGATTTTAAGTAAATTTGGAGGGAAGGGATTTGAAATAAATTCAAATTTCAAAGAGAATTTAGGAGGATTAATGGGCATTTAATGGAGGGGGCCGGCGGGTTCATTAGAGGAGGGAGAAGGGTTTTAATTCAAAACCTGAAATTAATTTCAGGATTTTGAATGAAAAAGGGGGGAAATTAATTTGAAATTGGATTTCAAATGAAGGGGTCATTAATGAATTAATTTGGGAATTAAAGGAGGGGGCCCATGCTTGGCCGGCGGGTTCAAGAGGGAGGAGGGAGGTGAGGGAGAAATTCATGAGCTTTCCAAATTAGCACATAAGCATTAGGAAAATTTATCATGAAATCCAATTGATTTTGAAATTCAAAATTGATCGGAATTGAAATACTTTCCTAATATGGCTTTTGACAAATTTGGAAAGTTTGAGGTTTAACCAATTTGAATTTCAAAAAATTGAAATGTGCGGGAAAAAAGGGACGAGGCCGGTGGTGGAGGATGGGGGACGGGGTGGTGGAGGGGATCGGCCGGCGGCTAAAGAGGACCCGGCGGGTTGGATCCCAAGGTGGTCGGTAGGGGAATTCGGGGCTCGGATTGAGGGCAATAAGGATGAAGGCTTAGGCTAAGTGGATGAGGTAAAACACAAACGAGAAGATAGAATAAACTTAACCACGAGCCGCGGACTCTTCCAACGACTGGTGGGCCTTGCGATTTGCTCCCCTTGAGCTCTCTCCCTTCTCTAACGCTCACGCAAGAAGAAGTAGAAACAAAACATAATTTTCATTCAAATATTCATTACCCTTTTACAAAGCATAAGACCGCTATATATAGGTCTCAAACACAAAGAAAAGAAAAGTACTCAAATGCCCTCTGGGCTACAATAAGAAAACACTCCCCATAGAGGTAAACTAGGAAACGGAAATGCAAACTAAATAAAACATAAAATACATCAAAAGTAAAGACTCTGGATCGTAGACGTCGATCTGCGCTGTCTCCGGCGATACACATGCTTGAACCTCTGATCGATGTCCCCATCATAAAGCTACCGTTTTTTATGGGAGCTAATAAATCCGAAAAGATTTTCAATCAAATGCTTCCAAGTTATGTGAAATAATATTTTTCCAAGTCTAATGTAACTTTCACGGATATCTTGTAATGCCTCGTTATTCAAACTCAGCTCCGCTCTCATCTACCTTACCCATAAGAAAGATAATTATGATCCTATGAAGGATTTAAGGCTTATCATCCTAATTAAACTGTATTTTTTAAAATCTTTACAAAGGTTCTTGCTAACATGCTTATTCCCTTAATGCTTAAGTTGGTCGATATCACTTAAAATGCTTTCATTATTAGATTGAACGATCTTAACTGCATTTTTACAACTTATGAAAGTATCCAAAGACAATTTTATTTTCAAGTGGACTTTGAAAGAGAATTTGATAGTTGCAATTGAAATTCCATCCTTAATTTACTTAAAAGGAAGATATTTCCCTCATTTTATTTATTGGATTCAATATATCATTTCTAATGCTAGTTCTTAAGTTATTAAATGGTGAAGTGGGAAAGCAGTTTAAATGTTACAAAGGCCTTAGACAAGGGGATTCTCTCTCCCCTCTTGTTTTCAAAAATGTGGATGTCTCAAAGAAAGGGTTGAAATCAACAGCTTCTAAGGATGGGTTGATGGTTGTTCTTAGTCAAAAGGAAAAAACCTAACTTTCAGCATCTAATATGCAAATGAAGTAATGAACCAACCTTCAAGTGATTACTCTCGAATATATTCTCTTGATTGAGAATGACTCGAGCCTCAAGATTAATTTCTCAATTTTTTCTCATCCTTGCTTGAGTGTAAAGGATAAAGGGTCAATATTGGCTAATTTAATGGGTTATTGTCATAAGAAGCTTCCTATTAAATATCTCAGTGTTCCTCTTGGTGATTATAAACTTCAAAATGATTGGTGGATCCTTGTTATTGATAAACTTTGCCCCAAACTTTCAAATTGGAAAGACAATTTTTTGTCAAAGGTAATCATCTTACTCTCATCAATTCTATGCTTTTTGTTATCCCTTTATTCTATTTCTTACTATTTTAAGCTCCTAATTGGTGATTAATAAAACGAATTGAATTAGAAAGAATTTCTTTAATAATTTAACTGGTGAAGGCAGAAGCTTGAATTTAATAAGTTGGAAGAGTATCTATAGACTTAAAGAAGTTGATGGCATTAGGATTAAGAATCCTACACTTTCAAACATCACTTTTTTAGGTAAGTGAATTTGTATTTCTGTCTCTTGTGATTGTTGCTCGTTTGCTGGTAAGATCAAAAGAAAGAAACATCTCACAAATTTGCCACCATCTAATTTTTTTCCTTAACAAGTACTCCAATTTCTCTGATCTCATTAGAGAAGTTAGACATGCAACTAAGCCTTTTTTTTCAATGACAAATATAATGCTAATTTAAGAACAAAATTTAATCTGTGGATACATAAATGGCTGGATGATGTGCCTCCTGCGGTTATGTTCCATGACTCTCTGCATTTTTTTCCAGAAATGCAACACTCTAAGTGCTCACTTTCTTGAAGGTCGTAGCTGGTTTGTTTACAAGAGCTAGACTATTTTACATTCCAAGAGAGTTTTCTTTTAATGGTCTCATTAAAAATATCAGTATCAACTCAACCAAGGATATTGACCTTTGGCAGATCTCTAATAATGGAACTTTCTCAGTCAAATCCTTCTATTCATTTATTTCTTTTGGAGAGCTGAGAAAGAGTAATGCATAATGGATTTGGAATCCTTGTGTCATATAAAATTTTATTTTTATATGGATTCTGTCTTGGAGGAGATTAACTTGTAAAGCCCTTCTTCACAATCTAGATCTTGATTACTCTATGACTTCTATTTGCAAAGCTTACCCAGAGGAAGGTTTTTACATTTTCTTCAATTGTTGAACTATTAGCAAGATTTGGAAAATGAGAAGTTTGGTATTAACAAAAATGAGAAGCATTACTCCTCAATGTTCATCTCGGAGGAACAAGGATATCAAGAATAACTTCAAAGATCTTTAGGATATTTTCTTCTTTGCTACTATTTGGTTTTTTTTTACTATTTGGTTTATATGAAAGAAAAGAAACGCTAGATGTTTCTCAAACATTACTAAAGATGAGAAGTGGATTTGGTTTGATATCATCTCTCTTGCTTATTTTTTTGATACTTTCTGCTCTATGCAAAAAAGGATTCTACCACTGGAGTTCAATTTTCTAAACTTCAGCTTCCAGAGAAACCAATTAACCTGCCAGAGGATTCGTATTTTGTTGTTTATGTTTATTTTCTTCATTCTGATTAGCCCAGCTATATTACTTAGCCTCCGGTTTTAATGAGAAGGGTACCTTCCCAGCTTTTCAATTAAAAAAAAAATGAAAATTTGATCGGCAAGTTCAATAAACCTAAAAGAAATTCTAAATATCTGTAATATTCAACTGAAAAACTTACAAAATTATCAAAAAATAAAATCTTCATACTACCTTCAACCCTAGGAGCATTTCTTCAATTTTATCAGCCTCGGACTGTGGGAAGAGATCGTCAGCAATTTTATTTGTACCCTTCAGAGGATCCTTAAGAAGTGCAAAGCCTCCAATCGATCCCTGGGTCCTTTGAGCCCCTCTTAAAATGTGTTGCTGAAAGATGGATTCATGTAGTCTGAATGAATACGTTGGATTTCTAAGGACCCTTACTGCTTTACCAGCAAAGAGAATTGCCTCGGCAATTTGCATATGTATGTATTCCGGCAACATTTCCTGTTAAATGATTGAAAAGCGAGTGAAAAGAATACTAATAGTAAACGAGCTAAGCTCTTCAAGTTAAAAGCACAAATATTGTTGATGTTAAAATTGCACGGTGGTTAAAATCACTATAGCTAGAACATAGTCCAGGGACACTGGCATATCATGTATTATTGTTTCAAACAAGTGTGTATGTTTTAAGTTAACTACTTCATGGAAAATGGCTTCTCCAACATAAACAATGGAAATTTCTCCAACTTTGCACCACACAGGGCACGATGACCAACACAAGAACAGAGGTTTGATTGCATTTTAATCGTTATGCAATAAGAAACAATATTTATTTAAGCTATGTGTTACGTAACAAACTGTCAAGATAATGCTACTTAAATGTTACATCTTAATTTTTAATATAGAAGTAGATATTGCTAACATTTTATAAATCCAGTTGCATGGACGATCATTGGCAAAATAAAATAACACACGTTAAAGAATGCTGTCAAAACTTAGACCAGTGTAGGGTACAAAATTCATGTATTGATAAAGGGCATGCCGAGGGAAAAAGAAATGAAATTTTGAACCTCAACCTACGCATATGTTGCTTACTTAAAAACCATGAATTAAAGATGCCAAAGATAGATGAAATATCAGAATACCTCAATTGTAAGTGTGTATAAAAATCAATACTAAAATTCTAAGGATTTGGGAAGGTCTCATGAAATATAAAATAAGAAGAGGTAGTTTACCAGAAATATATGAAATCCTATGTTCCAATCAGTAAGGGCTGCATTTTCAGATGACTTATACATCAACTTTTCTGTGGTATCTGAAACAGACGATTCATTCTCTATGTCCCTATGATCTTGCCTACAAAATTATGCAAGAAAGCAAACTCAGACTGACATTGTTAATAACATTAATTTGGAATAATGCCAAATATCCATAACTTAGAAAGGTGTAACCCAGCGTGAGAAGCTCCACACCAAGGTAGGATTCGGGGAGAGGTTGATTTACATAGTCATAGCCCTAATGCTGAGAGATTAATTTCGTGACTTGGACCCATGACCTCTAGGTTACAACAGAAACAAGTTGACCATCCTTGAAGACCCGTCCTCTCCCAAATATTCATAACAAGAAAGCAAAAATCAATTATATCATATAATTGGTAGCAAATCAATCTCTTCCTAGCAGTCAGCTTAAGACAACGCATTATCACAGACTAGAGTCTACAAGCAATACAATATAGAAGATAGTAACGAAGTAGGGCATCCAAAAACAATTTTAGCCAGTTTGGTGGAAGAAACAAAAGGAAAAAAATTATAAAATTTGACCCAAAAAAAGCATATCGTATTAGAACTTTATTTAGCTTATTAATGAATGATAGTTTTACAAATTATTTAAGTTGTACAAAAATTTAATGAGCATGTATATAGCAAATTAATGAGCTACAAAGGAAAGTCAAAAAAATACGTCGTAAAAGCCCAACTAGCAATGGGCCAATTAAAGGACCCAAATCAGGCAAATCATAACAAAACTTAATCAATCATTTGAGTATAATTTCCATTTATGGTTAAATTCTCTTATTTTTTTCAATTGATTTATTTAATTAGGTTCATTTACCTTGTTTAGATAAGATTAAATTTAAATTTGAGCACTTGTTAGAATATTAAGTTTAATTTCCATTTAGATTTGAGGGATCATGATATGTAATTAAATTATTATTTATTGAATGAATGAAAATTGTTTATGAGGCCACTTCACTTTTCTTTATATATACAGGTAGTGCATGTGGATCACTCCACGTTGTATACAGTTGTATACGTGAAATTCCACCCACTCCCCTTCTCTATCAACTTTGGTATCAAAGGCTTGCTTACGTAGCCACATCTACACCTCATTCTAATCCTACTAGTCCTAAATCTATAAAGACATGCTAATGTGAAACAATCAAGAATTGCACGGGAAATTTTAAAAGAATTACAAAGTTTGCTACTTGAAGATTAAAGTTTCGTAAGGCGAGATTCAAGAGCTTTCAATTGTCAAAATTATTATGATAAGCAATTACAAAACTCTAAGTTTGGAACAATTGAAGATAAATATGAAATTATCACAATAAAAACAAATGTGTAGTAATATAATCCCACGGTTAATATTTAGAAAATTCACTATGAGTTACCATGCTCACTCACACTCGAAGTATGTGTAAGACCCCAACGGATAACCAAGTGAGTTACTAAATGCTACATAGAATTCAAATTTATTTAGTAACTAACTGTTAAATAGATTAGTTTAATATTTAGTGTTGTTATGTTAATATTAGCAAATAAATGGAATTTGTAATTAAAGCCAAATAAGATAATTAGTAAGTTATTTTGAACAGATGCATAGATTGAGCAATGGCAGTTATAGCTTGGGCCCACTTTTCAATCCATATCATTTTCAAGCCTTATTTGCCACAAGCCTTATCTACAGCAATCCAGTCTCACGCCAGAGAGGTTTCCACCATCAAGAAAACCATTTTCCACCTTCGGCACTATAGCCAGAAAGAAACTGAAGGAAATTCGGTAAAGGAATTTTCTGCGGGACTGTAGCAAGAGGCGATATTGTTTCTTGTTCTTTGTTTGAAGGCTTACAGGAGGAGACAAAGGTTCTGTAGCAGAGTTCGGCACAGTGATTCCGGTACTGTAGAAAGAGGCGGAGAATTGGCTTGGCAGCGAATAGAATGGAATTACTGTAGGGAAAGTTCGGACATGGCAATAGGGACTTGGTAGTGCAGGTATTGCCTTAACAATGATCTGATTAGTGAATTGGAATATTAGTAAACAGTAATCTGACTTAATTGTGGTTAATATATTTGGTGATCAATTGTAGTTTGATGCAAGGGTGAGAATAATTGGAGACTTAGTGAATAAAGTTTAAAAGAAGAAATTTAAGAGAAGACGAAGGTAAAATTTATAGTAATCATTGTTATCTTTTATGTTATCTAAATTAAGTAACATTTTTAAAAGATTGTAACTTATTCGTATTGTAGGGTTATTCGTATATTTATGCAGAAAGAAAGTTTTGGATTAGTGTATCAAAGGAAAAGGCTGCGTGGTGTAGGTTTTGAAGAGATCAACGATCAGGAAGGTAAATTATGTAATTATTTATAATTGTAATCATCATGAATGATTAATTTATTCCTTATGTTTTGAAAGCTTATTATGAAGACATGCATTATGAGAATTTGGCTAGTCATCATAAGAATACATTAAGGTATGCATAATTATCTATCCATGAGAATAAGAGAAATTTGATATATGTTTAAATGTGCTTATCTCAACCTTTTCTTAACTGGAAAGTTTTATGCAAAGAAGTTTTTGTTTAACATAATAGCTATTAAATTCTTGTTGCACCAGATGTATGAAAATAAGTATACTTGAAGTTTATGAACATTGAAAAGTATGAAGTAAGGAATAACAAATTAAAAGTAAAGATTGGCTATATTATGAAATAATGTCTGCAATATCAGGTGGGCAAAAGGGACCCAATTAATAAACCTGTATTGTAGGTGGGGCAAAAGGGACCCCAAAAGGAAAAGAAACCTGCGTAGCAGGTGGGGCAAAAGGGACCCCTAATGAGGCAAAAGGGACCTCAATGTAATTCAATGGCGATAATGCCAGGGCTACCTGAACTCCATTGAATATTGTATGAAATTATAGCCAATTCTTTTACATATTTAATTTGATATTCAATGTGACCTCAAAGAGATAAAGAATAATGCTAATTAAGATTTTGACGTTGTTATCATTAATTGTGAGTTTAATGCTTTATGACTTCAATGTTTTGAATTATTCCTCTTCTTATATTATAACTGCTGTTTAGATTACATAATTTACTGGGCCTCATAGCTTACCAGTTATTTCTACTGGCTGTCTTTACAGGAAAAGGGAAAGAAAAAGTTGAAGAAGTTTGATATGCAAGTATTAAGTTTTGTGAGGACGGTCGCAACGCCAATGGTCTTGATCCACGGAAAGGTCGACGGTGGTGGAGATGGCATGGGTGAATGACCGTTGATGGTCCAATCGTAGTCCGAGAATTGGCAGTCGACGATCTCCACGAGGGTAGGGAGGATTCGATTCAAGTAATCCTAACCGGTATTGTCAAAGCCAAACCTGACGTCAAAGAAGGGCGATCGAATGATGTGGATGTCTCCGTAGACGTCGAGTACGAATCCGCTATCAACTTCGGGATCCGCCATTCATCCTTGCCGGCAATGAAAGAACACCAATAAGGAGAAAGGAGATATGAGGTGGTGAGAGAGAGCACTTGTGGTTTGAGAGGAAGGAAGAGGGAGAAGAGAGGGGCGGCGGTTTCCAAGAGAGAGCAATTAGGTTTAGGCCAAGAGCAATATATCTTTAATCAAAAAACCTGAAATTAATTTCAGGTTTTAAGTGGATTTGGAGGGAAATCCAAATTGAAATTAATTTCAAATTTCAAAGGAGTTAAAGGGGAGTTAATGAGCAAATAATGGGAGCCCGTCAATGGTGGTCGGCGGCATAGGGAGAGAGGGAGGGGATTGGGGAAGGATTTAGGGAGTTTCCAAAAAGGGATTGTGGATTAGGAAAGTTATTATGAGATCTAATTTATTTTAAATTTAAATTGGGATCATGAAAAAAAAACTTTTCTTAATAGGAATTCCAAAATTGGCAAGATTTTGAAATTCAAAATTTGAATTTCAAATGGAGCCAAATTTTCCCTCTCATGGCCAACTAAATTTGGAAAGCATTGTGATGATTGAAATCATCATCATGATGGAAAATTGAAGTGGAATGGGGTGGCGGCAAGAGGAAGGGGAAGGGGCGGGTTGATGTTGAGGTGGATGGATGGGGTTGAGGTGGGGAGCTAGTGGATGGTGGGCTTGTGAAGAAGAATTAGGAGGCGATCGGGGTGGTGAGCTTGGATGGTGGTGGTGTTATGGAGGCCGGAGGGTGGGAGTGAGGGGAAGGGGTGGAGATGACGACGATAAAATAGAAAACCACGAGTCGAGGACTCTTCCAACGACTGGTGGGCCTTGCACTTGCTCACATTGAGCTCTCTCTCTCCATTCTCTAGCTCTCATGCAAGAAGAAGAAAATTAGATAAAATTTTCATTCAAATATTAATTAACCAATACATAAGAGCATGACCATATATATAGGCCTCACAATGACAAATAAACAAAAGACAACAATGCCCCTCGGGCTACAATAGTGACCAATTACCCATAAGGGCAAAACGAAAAACTGAAGAAATAATAATGACTAATACATAAAATGCGTCAAAAGTAAAGACTCTCCATCATGACCATCGATCTCCTGTGTCGCCTGTGATAGACGCGTCGAAATCTCGTATCGATGTCCCCATCACATGCACTCTTAAATCCCATAAAACCAAGAATTTTGAGTTGCAAATCAGTCTTCAATCACACATTTTTAATCATAGCTAGTTACAGTGGTCATCGACCAGTTCCACCCAAGTTGGAAACTCTAGAATTCAACTAGGTCAACCCTACCCTAGCGTGACCAAATGGCTATGGTGTAATACCCAAAAATTTCAAGTAAAATTATAAAATTTTGCTTGGTTAAATCATGTTGAAATATAAATTTATATGATTATTTCCATACAAAAACAACAACATCAAGCCTTTGTCCCACTACGTGGGGTCGGCTACATGAATCCTTTTTCGCCATTGTGTCCGGTTAAAAGTCAAATTCTCATCTAAATCTAATAAAGAAAGATCATTTCTAATATTTTCTAACCAAGTCTTTTTAGGTCTACCTCTACCTTTCTTAACATAAGCCAAATCTAATACCTCAACTTTCCTACCCAGGTCATCGGAAGGCTGA